GATACGATTCCTAACCATCAGAACCACTTAAAGAATTTAGGGAAGAGGATTAGGGCCACAAAAAAAAAAAGTTGACTGATTTTTAAATATTATTTCAGTTTAATATGAGGAAAAAAGTTAGAATTCTGACTTTAATCTCAGGACATTTTTTCTCAGAATTAGACTTAAACAGATTTATTTTGTCATTTTGCATACACAAGTGTAGACAAAAAGGAATTTCCATTAGAACAGCTGTCTAGAAAATTTTATTTTTTTAAAGTACGGAAGAGGATTAGGGCCACTAAAAAAAAAAAAAAAACAAGATTTTTTTAATATCAATTCAGTTTAATATGGGAAAAAGTCAGAATCCTCACTGTAATCTCAGAATTCCTGCTTTAATCTCAGAATTCTGGTTTTAATCTCAGAATTCTGACTGAATTCTGACGCTAACAAACATGTTAGCATCAAGCTGTAGACATGTCTGTTCTAGAGACTAAACTAACTCTCTTGTTTTAATCACCTTCTGCTCTTCCATTAATAAAATGGCATCCCCAGGACCCCTCGGCACGTAAAATCCATAATTCTGAGATTAAAGTTTGAATTCTGGGATTACAGTCACAATTCTGAGTTTTTCACATATTAAATTGAAATAATATTAAAAAAATTGTTAACTTTTTAAAAATTCTGAGATTAAAGTTAGAATTCTGAGTTTACTTTCACAATTCTGAATTTTTCACATATTAAATTGAAATAATATTTAAAACTCAGTTAACTTTTTCAGAATCCTGAAGTTAAAGTCAGGTTTTTGAGATTATGTCAGAATTCTGACTTTACTCCCCACATTAAAATGAAATGATTTTTAAAAATCAGTTAACTTGTGTTTTTTCCAGACGCCCTTATCCTCTTCCGTAGGAACCAGAACCTTTAGAAGCGGGTCAAAGTCCTTTAGGGTCAAACCAGAAGGTACCAATCAGACACTAACTTCAGCACCATGTCCTAGTTGTTGTTGCATGTCCTGTTTTGAACCACAAACTTTTTCCCGATAAGGAAGGAAAACTGGAGCGAGACGCACCAAAAGCGACCGTTAAAAAGAAGAACAACCAAAGTTGTAATTTCTTTCTCGTTGAAGCCACTTCTCCAACTGTCACCTAGCTTAGCCTAACAGGGAGGACAGACCTGTCTCATGGTGGAGGGGGGGTCTCTCTCCGGCTGCTGTCCCAGCACCGGGCAGCTGCAGCGGGGCGGACTCCTGTCCCTGTCCCGGCCAAAGTCTCTGAGTAATCGCGTCTTTGACCACTCTGGCCCCGCTGCCTGTTATGGAGAAGATGTAGTCCATCGCAGGCTGCTGGGTTTGAGCAGGAGTAAGCGAGCCGCGGGAGGTGGTGTCAGGACGCCTTCTGCGCCCCGCACATTCCAAAACAGGAACTGTTTCAACTACGAACCAACTGCTCTAAACCACCGGTAGTTTCAGCAGACAGCTTCCCCTCACGCTGCAGAAAAACAAAAACTTCTAATTGAATC